AAGGATGTCTCTGTAATACTATCTGTGGTAGTATCAAAGGTTAAGATAATTAGATATGTTAACTAAGGATGTCTCTGTAATACTATCTGTGGTAGTATCAAAGGTTAAGATAATTAGATATGTTAACTAAGGATGTCTCTGTAATACTATCTGTGGTAGTATCAAAGGTTAAGATAATTAGATATGTTAACTAAGGATGTCTCTGTAATACTATCTGTGGTAGTATCAAAGGTTAAGATAATTAGATATGTTAACTAAGGATGTCTCTGTAATACTATCTGTGGTAGTATCAAAGGTTAAGATAATTAGATATGTTAACTAAGGATGTCTCTGTAATACTATCTGTGGTAGTATCAAAGGTTAAGATAATTAGATATGTTAACTAAGGATGTCTCTGTAATACTATCTGTGGTAGTATCAAAGGTTAAGATAATTAGATATGTTAACTAAGGATGTCTCTGTAATACTATCTGTGGTAGTATCAAAGGTTAAGATAATTAGATATGTTAACTAAGGATGTCTCTGTAATACTATCTGTGGTAGTATCAAAGGTTAAGATAATTAGATAAGTTTTTTACTAATTTAAATTTTTTAGGACGTTCTATGAGAGTAAATTTGTGAAAGAGTTATTTGAAGTCATGATTTACAGCAACGAACTAGATTTTACCATTCCTTTAATCATTCGGAACTTTGCCTTGACGGAAGCCTTGAATAACCCAGCCGAATATTTTACCTATGCTGTGAAATGGGTTCAACAAACAAACGAAGAATTTTTGCTTGAATTTGATCATAAGGTATATAGATGGTCTTTCTATTAGTTATGACTTGTAGCTGTTATGTTATATACTTGGAAATATCCATGTATATTACCGTCAACCCAGTGCAGAGACTAGGGCTGCAACGATTCACCGATGAACCACGATTCTTTCCTTCTTGTCGATGCATTGCGTTGGATAAATATAATCGCGATGCATTGGCACAATCATTTAACTTCCTTTAATAACAAATGATACGGTATGTCAGATTGTGTGTCATGATTTTATATCTTATTATAATTTTCACCAAAACATTTGTAAAAAAAAACATTCCTGTTTTCGAAAATTAAGTATTTTATTTCACAATTCTTTACTTCTAGATGTTCTCATGTGCTAAATTGTTATGATTTTAAATATTTTTACTATTTTTCCTCTGTTCTTTTCTAATAAATGAATTGCGATTATTATCACAATAAATCGTATCGTCAGATGGGTATCGTTTAGTGTATCGAATCGGAACTTCAAGAATCCTTGCAGCCCTAGAAGAGACACATATTTTTGTTAGAATTTGAAGGAAATCAATATCCTATTATAAGATCCTATCTTTGATAGCCATCTTTGTTGTATCACAGAAGTTTGGCTGTATAATAAGAGTACTCGACTGTAAACAATTTGACTTCTTATATCTTATTTTAGATGCTAGAACAGCTAATCAACATGTTCTCACGAAGTAAACAAATGGAATTGGTGGAAACATTGAATGTCATACGAGTCAGAAAGCTCAGGGTAAGCTTTGACCATTAGACTTGCAAATTTACATAGTGAAACCCTTTCAATCCATTATCTCTATAACTCTATTCTGACATATTTAAAAAGTCCTGACTGAATCACTATATAATATATAGAAGGAAACCTTCAATAA